TAATAATAATAATAATAATAATAATAATAATAATAATAATAATAATAATAATAATAATAATAATAATAAAGTTGGAAGGGACCTTGGAGGTCATCTAGTCCAACCCCCTGCTCAGGCAGGAAACCCTATACCATTTCGGACAAATGGCTGTCCAGTCTCTTCTTAAAAACTTCCGGTGTTGGAGCATTCACCGCTTCTGGAGGCAGGTTGTTCCACTGGCTAATTGTTCTAACTGTCAGGAAGTTTCTCCCTAGTTCTAGGTTGCTTCTCTCCTTGATTAGTTTCCATCCGTTGCTCCTTGTCCTGCCTTCAGGCGCTTTGGAGAATAGGCTGACTCCCTCTTCTTTGGGGCAGCCCTTGAGATATTGGAACCCTACTATCATGTCCCCCCTCGTCCTTCTCTTCATTAAACTAGACATACCCAATTCCAGCAACCGTTCCTTATATGCTTTAGCCTCCAGTCCCCTAATCATCTTTGTTGCTCTTGTGTTGTGACTGGAGAAACACAACTTTGGCGACAAAGGCCCCAGTCTGATAGATTTTTCTACTGGGCTGGGTGAAAGGTCTCCATTCCATGACATTTGACTCGCATAAATCCTCTTTTACGGCAACTGTTTACAAAAAAAAAAAAAAAAGATTGGTTATCGTATCATCTTACATCTGGACAAGGGCAGACTCCGAGCCAGGAAAGGCAGCAGAAACCCAAAAAATTGCAGTCTCCCAATGTGAAGTGAAACATGAGATCTTTTAAAGGCAGAAAAAAAATATATAGGCCACCAGGTGAACATCTGCTGGGAGGAGAGAAAAAGACATTTTAATAACCTTGATGGATCATTCACCCAACAGTTGTTTTATTAGCAGACATTCAATCGCTCTCTGGAGAAAAGCAGCATTAAATAGCCTTAGTAGCGCTGTATTAAATATCCGTCCTTGGGGAGGCGTAAGATTAAAGACTGCTCTGAGGGAAATGTAAAATTTTAAGCTGGCTTTTAAACAAGAAACAGTTCCAGAAAGCTGTTCGTTGAAAGCTTTTTTGTTGTTGTTAATTGCGAAGTCGTGTCCGACCCATCGCGACCCCATGGACAACGTTCCTCCAGGCCTTCCTGTCCTCTACCATCTTCTGGAGTCCATTTAAGCTCAGGCCTCCTGCTTCAGTGACTCCATCCAGCCACCTCATTCTCTGGCGTCCCCTTCTTCTCTTGCCCTCCATCTTTCCCAGCATCAGGCCCTTCTCCAGTGAGTCCTTCCTTCTCATTAGGTGGCCAAAGTACTTGAGTTTCCACTTCAGGATCTGCCCTTCTAAAGAGCAGTCAGGGTTGATCTCCTCTAGGACTGACCGGTTTGATCGCCTTGCAGTCCAGGGGACTCGCAGGAGTCTTCTCCAGCACCAGAGTTCAAAGGCCTCCATTCTTTGTCGCTCAGCCTTTCTTATGGTCCAACTTTCACAGCCATACGTTGCAACTGGGAAAACCATGGCCTCGACTATACATACTTGCAATTGCTTTTCTTTTTACAGTACTAGCTTCTTCTCTGGGACGGTATCGATAGTTCAAAATTGGCCCCAAAATTTCTGTTGCTAAGCGAGACCGTTGTTAAGTGAGTTTTGCCCCATTTTATGACCTGGCTTGCCACAGTTGTTAAGTGAGTCACTGAAATTGCTATGTTAGTAACACAGTTGTTAAGTGAATCTGGCTCCCCCATTGATTGTAAGAGGGTCACAAAAGGGGATTACATGATCCCGGGACACTGCAACTGTCATAAATATGAGCCGGTTGCCAAGCGTCTGAATTTTGATCCTGTGACCATGGAGATGTACAATGGCCGTAAGTATGAAAAATGGTCATAAGTCAGTTTTTTCAGTACCATTGTGTTGAAGGAAAAGTCTTCATCATGGTTCAGTCCAAGTGGGAATAAACAAACATGGAGACTGCTTTAGAAAGAAGGTTGCAGTTTATTGAAGAGGAGAGCCAGACAGAAAGATGGCTCTGGAAGGAAAGAAAGAGAGAGAGCACATGTAGGGAGTGGGTTTTTATACCCTCTGGAGCCTTTTGTTTGGAATTGTTCCTGTGGCATGAACTTTGACCTGAGTCTGAGTGTGCCCTTTGGCATCTGTGGGTTAATCCTATTATGTCCTGTCTTAAGAGTTTGGGTTGGGTATATAGATTTTAGGTGTCTTTGTCTTCTTAATCTTCTAGCTGGGGGCCTCCAACCTTCCTGAATGGATTATTTACATCTGCATTTCTACAGAGCTGGTTTCTGCTTGGGGGAGGGAGACTTGGGGCTATTAAGAAAACTGGGCATGCTTTTCTGCCTCTTTAATATTTCCTTCTCGGGGGGGGGGCTGACTTCCCACAATTGTAAACTTTGAAAGGTCACTAAACAAACCGTTGTAAGTCAAGGACTACATGAATTGTCCCCAGGCTTGGAGGTGAGATGGAAATGTGACATCTCTCCTTTCTTCTAAGATGGTCATCGAAGTTTAGTGGTGAGGGAAGAACTGTGAATTTAATTTTTAAACTGGTGTTTAGTTTTGCCTTTTATTGCATACTAGCTGTACCCGGCCACGCGTTGCTGTGGCTCAGTATCAATGCGCCATTGTGCATTCATCCCAAACAACCTGCTGCTTTCAGGCGCCTTGGAGAATAGCTTGACTCCCTCTTCTCTGGGGCAGCCCCTGTGCTTTTTAACCATGTTGCATTCAGGGCCATATCACAATTTTGCTTTAAAAGAAAACCAGGACAGAATTCTTACCTAATTCTTTAGATAAATCTTTCCTAACCTGTTCCCTAATCTGTTCAGATGCTTGGCAACTGGTTCGTATTTATGACGGCCGCTGTGTCCCTGTTTCATGTGATCCCCTTATGCGACCTTCTGACAAACAAGGTCCACGGGGAAGCCAGATTCACTTAACGACCGTGTTACTAACTTAAGAACTGCAGTGATTCACTTAAGAACTGTGGCAGGAAAAGTGGCAGCGTGGGGCAAAACTCACTCAACCAATGTCTCACTTAGCAACATAAACGTTAGGCTCAATTGTGGTCATAAGTCAAGGACTACCTGTATTAATCCAGTCCTCCACTTACAATCGAAAATGGGACTGGAGCTTCCTTCGCTGAGCAAAGCAGCCATTAAGAGAGTTGTGCCAAATTTTATGAGCTTTTCTTCCTGTGGTCATTAAGAGAATCACCAGGGTTGTTAAGTGCCTCCCCCAGTCATAACTTTCCCCATTGACTTGTTGGAAGCCAGCTGGGAAGGTCTCAAACGGCGATCACATGACCCCGGGATGCTGCAACCGTCGTAAGTACATGCCAGTTTCCAAGCGTCCAGAATTTTGATCACATGAATACAGAGCTGCTGCAACAGTTATACTTGCAAGGATCAATTATAAGTACGAGGACCAGATTTTCTTTCAGCTCTGGTGTAACTTTGAGCAGTTGCTAAACAAATGGTCATAAATTGAGGACTACCTTTATAAATGGCCTCTGATTTTGGAGGCATCTTTCTATGCCTCCAAGCAAAGCAGTGCAGCATTTGCAACGAACCTTGGTTGGCAACGAACATGAAAATGCAGACGAGTATAGTAATAACCAATCCAACTGTATTCATACAGGTAGTCCTCGACTTACGACAGTTCATTTAGTGACTGTTCAAAGTTACAACGGCACGGAAAAAGCGACTTGTGACCCTTTTTCACAGTTACGACCCTTGAAGCATCCCCATAGTCGTGTGATCCAAATTCAGACACTTGGCCACTGACTCTTATTTACGACGGTTGCAGTGTCCCAGGGGTCACGTGGATTCATTTAACACCCTTGTGACTAGCTTAACAACTGTCAGTGATCCACTTAACAACTGTGGCATGAAAGGCTGTCAAACGGGGCAAAATTCACTTGACATATGTCTCGCTTAGCAACAACAGTTGTGGTCGTAAGCTGAGGACCTACCTGTAATCGCTGATCAAATTGCAAGGGAACATTTTATTTATTTATTTATTTATTTATTTATTTATTTATTATTTGAATTTATACCCCGCCCTTCTCCTTGCGGACTCAGGGCGGCTGACAGCCTGATAAAAACAACTACAAAAATACCCCAAAAACTATCATTAAAACAAAGTTAAGATGAAATATTAAATTTGGCCTTACTAATTTTTAAAATTGCTTTTAAAACCCCACTAAAAATTTCCCCTTAGGCCAGTCCCGCTTGTTGGAAGAGCCATGTCTTAAGGGCGCGGCGGAAGGAGGGGAGATCCGGGATCACCCGGATCTCTGGGGGTAGTTCGTTCCAGAGGGTGGGGGCTCCCACCGAGAAGGCCCTCCCCCTGGGGGTCGCCAGCCGGCACTGTCTGGCTGACGGCACCCTGAGGAGACCCACTCTGTGGGAGCGTACCGGCCGATGGGGGGTAATCTGCGGCAGAAGGCGGTCTCGGAGATATCCAGGTCCGATGCCATGGAGCGCTTTAAAGATGATGATCAACACCTTGAAGCGCACCCGGAAGGCCACCGGCAACCAGTGCAGCTCACGCAGCAACGGTGTTACATGGGAGCGACGAGTCCCTCCCAACACCGCCCGCGCGGCCGCATTCTGGACCAGTTGGAGCCTCCGGATTGTCCCTTTTTTATGCAAGCGTGCCCTTTGAGGGCAATGCCCCCAGCGCCTTTAAACTCTCCCGGTTGTGCCTGGCTCACCATCCTTCCGGATCCAAAATTTTACCACCGGGCGACAAGGAAAAGGGGCGGGGAGGTCACCTGTCCCGCAGACCTGTTGAAAACAGTTTTCATTGGAAACAGCCAAAAAAGCACTGGAAATCACCGCCAGAGAAGGAGTGGCTTGGCCAAATTAAGAGGGGAAAAAAACTGCTTTATTTCTAAGCCATAAATAGAAGGGAGAGGGGGAAAAAAAAAAAGAGGGAGCGAGGGAATGGAGGCGAGGCGAAGGGACGGCTGCACTTTCCAATAATTAAAACCAGGAGATCTGCAGAGACCGGGGTCGCGTGGAAGATGCTGGTTGAAGGGTTCCTGCTTTTCGCCCTCTTTTTCTTGGCTTGGCAATTTCTACAGATGCAATGGGCACGCCGTCAACTTCCCCCTGGCCCGGCTCCTCTTCCCATCCTCGGCAATTTATGGCTGCTGGACTTTACTCTGAAACGAGAGCCGTTGATGAAGGTAATTTTTGTGTTTCCCCCCCCCCCCAAAAAAAAAATTATTTATTTTTGCAGGAGAGGAGAGGGGAGGGAGAAAAAGAAAGAGGTTATGTTAGCAAGGATCGATCCCTCTCACACAAACGCACATCCCTACAGTTATACGTTAAAGGTGATTGCAACAGGATCAAGTAACCCTCTGCTGGGCTTCAATTTTATTTTACTTTTTCCTGCTCCGTTTTGAAAAATCAACCCCGTTTTTAAAACACGAGGCGAGCCTCGATTCTTTAGATAGAACAAACAGCAGAGTTTGCGGACTTTGGAAAAAAGCAAACACAGGAATGCCTGCCAAGTAGCGTGCCAATTCAAATGGATAAAACCCTATTTGACCGTCAGCAATAGGTGCCTTCTTGTGGACTCTACAAACACAAGCAGGAACTAAATCTCCACGCAACCCTTGGAGATGAGGTCAGTCTACCCAGGTAAGTTCAGGGGATTCGGTCAGAGGTTAAATGGCTTTCCCTAATCTCAGGTCCACTGAATGGCCAATACACCAAAATGCTTGGATTCGCACAACATCCCGATGTAATATGTTGTGTGAAATGTAGCATTGAACTGACTAGGCCAGGGGAAGGCAACCTTGGCTCTTTTATGACTCATGGACTTCAACTCCCAGAATTCCTGAGTCAGCCATGCTGAGGGGAAAGGGAGAGATTTCCAAGCTGAGCCATGCTGGCTCAGGGATTCTGGGAGTTGAAGTCCACGAGTCATTAAGAGGCCATAGTTCCCCCATGCTGGGTCAAGAATTCTGGGAGTTGAAGTCCCCAAGTCATGACGGGGCCATAGTTCCCCCATATTGGCTGAGGAATTCTGGGAATTGAAGTCCACGAGTCATGAAGGGGCCATAGTTCCCCCATACTGGGTCAAGAATTCTGGGAGTTGAAGTCCGCAAGTCATGAAGGGGCCATAGTTCCCCCATGCTGGCTCAGGAATTCTGGGAGTTGAAGTCCACGAGTCATAAAAGAGCCAAGGTTGCCTACCCCTGGACTAGGGGGTAGGTGTTGTGTGAACGCTGTCTCTTTGTGGCCATCCACAAAAGGATACGCCAAGAGCTTTTTGCGAGGCTCTAGCAACTGCCTTATTTTATTTCTGGGTTTATTTTTGCGCTGTAATATGTTCTTATTTGTTTTTCATGTTGTGAGCTGCCGAGAGTCCTATACGTGAAATGAATGGCCATATAAAACAAATAGATAAATATAATAGGGGAGAAAATATGTTTCAAGTTTAAATAAACTAGAATATTCCCGGAAATAGATATTTAGGATGGTTGCAGCGTCCCGGGTTCACGTGATCCCCTTTTGCGACTTTCTGATAAGCAAAATCCATGGGGGGGGGGGAGAGATTCACGTAACCATAGTGTTACTAACAACTGCAGTGATTCATTTAACAACTGTGGAAGCAAAGTCGCAAAGTGGAATAAAGCTCACTTAACAACGGTCTCGCTTAGCAATAGAAATTTTCTGCTCCATTGTGGTCGTATCTGGAGGACTTCCTGTATGGCCAGTTGTGTGGGGGGGTGCACGTGTGTTTAGTGCAGGCACAGACCTGAAACACACATACTGTACCGTGCTGTCTTTCTGGCAAGTTGTTCTGAGAAGCCCTGAGAACGATGTTATGCCAGTAAAAACCAGGCAGTGTAGCAAGTTAGCAAAACTGGGTCTAAGAGAAATGTCACAATCTCCGGAGATCGAAATAGAACTGAGAAATATGGAAGGAAGGAGGCAGAACCAGAAGGCAAGCTGGCAAATGCTACATTTCCCAACAGTGATGTGGAAGCTTCAGTTCCCAGCAAATAAAGAAGGGAGGGACGGAGGGAGGGAGGGAGGGAGGGAGGGAGGAAGGAAGGAAGGAAGGAAGGAAGGAAGGAAGGAAGGAAGGAAGGAAGGAAGGAAGGAAATTGTGTGTGGATGGATGGATGGATGGATGGGTGGATGGATGGATGGATGGGAGGAGGCAAGGAAAGAAAGAAGATGGATGGAAGAATGAAGAAAGGAGGGAGGGAGGGAGGGAGGGAGGGAGGGAGGAAGGAAGGAAGGAAGGAGAGTGGATGGATGGGTGGATGGATGGATGGATGGATGGGAGGAAGCAAGGAAAGAAAGATGGAAGGAAGGAAGGAAGGAAGGAAGGAAGGAAGGAAGGAAGGAAGGAAGGAAGGAAGGAAGGAAGGAAGGAAGGAAGGAAGACCACGGGCAATGACATCCTAAGAGATCATCTTTAGTGCTCCTAAAATATCGCCACTTCCTGCATTTGAATATCAGAGCTGTTACACAGTGTTCTGGAAAGAAAGAAAGAAAGAAAGAAAGAAAGAAAGAAAGAAAGAAAGAAAGAAAGAAAGAAAGAAAGAAAGAAAGAAAGAAAGAAAGAAAGAAAGAAAGGGGGGGGGACAGGACAGGACAATAGAGTTGGAAGGGACTTTGGAGGTCTTCTTGTCCAACTAAAGTCCACCCATCTTAAAACTTGCCAAATTTGAAAAAAAACCAACCACTTCTAATTCAATGGGAGTTGGAAGGGACCTTGGAGGTAGTCTAGTGCAATCTCCTGCTCAAGTAGGAAGCCCTAGAACATCTCAGTCAAATGGCTATCCAATCTCTTCTTAAAAATCTCCAGTGTTGGAGATTTGGAGGCAAGCCGTTCCACCGGTTCATTTGTTCTCACAGTCAGGAAATTCCTCCTCAGTTCTAGGTTAGATCTCTCTTTGATTAGTTTCCGTCCGTTGCTTCTTGTCCGGCCTTCAGGCGCTTTGGAAATAAATAAATAAATAATCCTCTCTCCCTCCCTCCCTCCCTCTCTCAAACCATTACACCGTTTTTCTCCTTGACTCTTTCGTTCCCTCCTTCAGTTAACAAGCATCTATGGAAACATCTACACCATTTGGATGGGGACAGCTCCAATGGTTGTGCTGAATGGCTGCAAGGCCGTGAAAGAAGGACTCGTCACTTACTCAGAGGAGACCTCTGGAAGGCCGCTGCTGCCTCTGTTTAAGGATCTGATGGGCAACAAAGGTCAGCTCTGAACATTTTCCCATAGAAATTGTACCAACCCAGATTTGGGGGCACGTCTGTAATGCCTTGAACCACAATTATTTTTATCGTACGTTGGTGCTTGGCTGTCTTTCCGCTAAGATGGCACCTATAAGGGTCCCAGAAAAACAGCAACCCCTTTGTTGAAATGTCGGGCTGAGAGTAAGTCCTCAACTTACAACAGTGTTACAACTGGGTTCAAAGTTACAACAGCACTGACAAAAGTGACTTATAACCCTTTCCCACACTCATAACTGTTGCAGCATCCCCGTGGTCACGTGCTCAAAATTCAGACACTTGGCAACGGGTTCGTATTTACGACGGTTGCCGTGTCCTGGGGTCACGTGATCTCCTTTTGCGACCGTATGACGAGCAAAGTCAATGGGGGAAGCCAGATTCACTTAACAAGCATGTCACTAACTTCACAACTGCAGTGATTCACTCTAACCACTGTAGCAAGGAAGGTCATAAAATGGGTCAAAATTCACTGAATGTATGTCTCACTTAGCAACGGAAACTTGGCTTTCAATTGTGGTCATAAGCCAAGGACTACCTATAATGGATCTATCTATCTGAGCTATCTCAGAGTTAGGCCCACCACATCATATGCTTATTGAATTAACCTACTTTCTGGGTTTACCCTAAACATTGAAGAATCGGCGAATGAGGTGTAGGGTTCCTGCCTGAGCAGGGGGTTGGACTAGATGACCTCCAAGGTCCCTTCCAACTTTATTATTATTATTATTATTATTATTATTATTATTATTATTATTATTATTATTATTATTATTATTATTATTATTATTATTAAGCTAAAGACATCAAATTAATTTTTAAAAAATGATTTCTTTTCTCCTTAGAAAGCAAGCCTAATAATAATAATAATAAAGTTGGAAGGGACCTTGGAGGTCATCTAGTCCAACCCCCTGCTCAGACAGGAAACCCTATACCATTTTAGACAAATGGCTGTCCAGTCTCTTCTTAAAAACTTCCAGTGTTGGAGCATTCACCGCTTCTGGAGGCAGGTTGTTCCACTGGTTAATTGTTCTAACTGTCAGGAAGTTTCTCCTTAATTCTAGGTTGCTTCTCTCCTTGCTTAGTTTCCATCCGTTGCTTCTTGTCCTGATAGCAGTCTTCCAATATCTCAGGGGCTGCCCCAAAGAAGAGGGAGTCAAGCTATTTTCCAAAATGCCTGAAGGCAGGACAAGAAGCAACGGGTGGAAACTAACCAAGGAGAGGAGCAACCTAGAACTAAGGAGAAACTTCCTGACAGTTAGAACAATTAACCAGTGGAACAACCTGTCTCCAGAAGCGGTGAATGCTCCAACACTGGAAGTTTTTAAGAAGAGACTGGACAGCCATTTGTCCGAAATGGTATAGGGTTTCCTGCCAGAGCAGGGGGTTGGACTAGATGACCTCCAAGGTCCCTTCCAACTTTATCATCATCATCATCATCATCATCATCATCATCATCATCATCATCATTATTATTATTATTCTATATAGTATTGTTCAGACATTAAATGTCAACAACATGCAGTATAAGGACTATAACAGCCATGAAGTAGGACAGACAGGCAGAAGACTACAGAGCACATCCATGAACACCAACTAGCTGTGAGAAGACAAGATGAAAACACCTTAAGGGAACGACACATTGATAGACTTAAACCACAGATTCAGTTGGGAAGCTGCGAGCATCTTAGACCAAGCCAAATCCAAAACTGCTAGATGTCTATGGGGATTCTCAGTCATCCAGATCATGGTTGTCCCAAAGGTGATTTTTTTTTTTAGGAGGCAAGTGGATTTTTTTTTTTTGTTTTTCTTTGAAGACATTTCACTTCTCATCCAAAAAGCTTCTTCAGCTCTGAATTCTCTAGCAAAATTGCTAGAGGATTCCCGGAAGTCTGCCACACAGACAAATCAGCCATCAACAGACACATGGAGATAAACAACATCTACATATCATTTAAAAGAGACGATCAAAAACCTAAAAAAAAGCCCACAGCAATTTATTCAATAGATCAGTGTTTCTCCACTTTGGAGACTTTAATTGCGTGGATTTCAACTTCAACTTTAAAAAAAAAAGATGCTGAGACTCTAGAAAGAGTGTAGAGAAGAGCAACAAAGATGATTAGGGGACTGGAGGCTAAAGCATATAAGGAATGGTTGCTGGAATTGGGTATGTCTAGTTTAACGAAGAGAAGGACGAGGGGGGACATGATAGCAGTCTTCCAGTATCTCAGGGGCTGCCCCAAAGAAGAGGGAGTCAAGCTATTCTCCAAAGCACCTGAAGGCAGGACAAGGAGCAACAGATGGAAACTAATCAAGGAGAGAAGCAACCTAGAACTAAGGAGAAACTTCCTGACAGTTAGAACAATTAACCAGTGGAACAACCTGCCTCCAGAAGCGGTTAATGCTCCAACACTGGAAGTTTTTAAGAAGAGTCTGGACAGGCCGAAATGGTATAGGGCTTCCTGCCTGAGCAGGTTGGACTAGATAATCTCCAAGGTCCCTTCCAACTTTATTATTATTATTATTGTTATTATTATTGTTATTATTATTATTATTATTATTATTATTGTTGTTGTTGTTGTTGTTGTTTGTTTGTTTGTTTGTTTGTTATTATTCCAGAATTCCCCAGTTATCGTGTTTAGGATGAGTCGAAACCCACTCATCTTAAAGTTGTCAAGGTAGAGAAACACTGCAACGGAGCACGGTTACGACAATTATAGTTAGTCACAGTTGAAACCAAACTGAGATAAAATAACCCAGCTGTTGTCAATGGAATCCTCCGTCATCCAGGTCATGGATGTCCCAAAGGTGCTTTTTCAAGAGGCGACTGGACTTTCTCGTTTTTCCCTTGAAGAGGTTTCGCTTCTCATCCAAGAAGCTTCTTCAGTTCTGAAGAAGAAAAGCCAGTTGCCTCTTGAAAAAGCACCTTTGGGGATCCAGCTGTTGTACCATGGTATCATGCTCAAAGATAAGGTGTCCCAACTTTGTCCCGCAGGTGTTTTTATGACCACCGGCCCCGTCTGGAAGCAGCAGAAGCGCTTTGTCATGTTGACACTGCGAAACCTGGGTATGGGAAAGAAGATCCTGGAGAACCGGATCCAGGAGGAGGCGCGGAATCTTCTGAAGGTGTTTACAAGCAAGAAAGGTGATCTCTTTTTTCTCTCTCCCTGCACAATAAATCAGCAATGAGCAACCTTGTAATGGTCCAGTGCAGGGATAGGCAACCTTGGCCCTTTCATGACTCGTGGACTTCAACTCCCAGAATTCCTGAGCCAGCATAGCTCAGCTTGGAAACCTCTCCCTTTCCCCTCAGCATGGCTGGCTCAGGAATTCTGGGAGTTGAAGTCCATGAGTCATAAAGGAGCCAAGGCTGCCTACCCCTGGTCCAGTGTAATGTTGGGATTTTTTTTTCTCCGTCGCTCTTCTTTTCAACTTTGTTATTCTAATTTACGCCCGGTCGAGTGGCAGCAGGTAGCCATAGCTTGTGGCATCTAAGTATATTTGAGCTTGGTTAATATTTGGAAAGGAGACCACCAGGATACCTCTGGCTCTCTCAAGTAGAGACTGGGACATTAGAAAAGCATTCAAGAGGAAGAAAATGCAATATACGTGTTGTTTTCCCCAAAATGCTTGGAGATTAGATAGATGAGAGATGATGAGAGAAAGAGAGAGATGATAGAGATAGATAGATAGATAGATAGATAGATAGATAGATAGATAGATAGATAGATAGATAGATAGATAGATAGATAGATAGATAGATAGATAGATAGATAAGTAGGTAGGTAGGTAGGTAGGTAGGTAGGTCAGTAGGTCGGTCGGTAGGTCGGTAGGTCGGTCGGTAGGTCGGTAGGTAGGTCAGTAGGTAGGTAGATAGATAAGAGAGACAGAGAAATGATAGATAATATATAGAGAGAAAGATAAGAGAGATGAGAGAGAGAGGCAGACAGAGAGAAGAGACACAGAGAGATGATAGATAAATGATAGAAAGAGAGAGAATGAGATAAGGGGTGGATGGGTGGATAGATGGATGGATGAAAGGTAGACAGAGATAAATAGATGAGATGAGAAAGAGAGACAGAGACAGAGAGAAGAGAGACACAGAGAGATGATAGATAGATGATAGATAGATTAGACAGATAGACAGACAGACAGACAGACAGATAGATAGATAATAAGAGAGAGAATGAGATAAGGGGTGGATGGATGGATGGATGGATGGATGATAGATAGACAGATAAATAGATGAGAGAGAGAGAGAGAGACAGAGACAGAGAAGAGAGAGATGATAGATAGATAGATAGATAGATAGATAGATAGATAGATAGATAGATAGATAGATAGATAGATAGATGATAGATAGATGATAGATGATAGATAGATAGATAGATAGATAGATAGATAGATAGATAGATAGATAGATAGATAGATAGATAGATAGATAGATAGATAGATAGATAATAAAGAGAGAATGAGATAAGGGGTGGATGGATGGATAGATAGATGGATGGATGATAGGTAGACAGTGATAAATAGATGAGAGAGAGGGAGGGAGGGAGGGAGAGAGAGAGAGAGAGAGAGAGAGAGAGAGAGAGAGAGAGAGAGAGAGAGAGAGAGAGAGAGAGAGAGAGAGAGAGAGAGAGAGAGAGAGAGAGAGAGAGAGAGAGAGAGAGAGAGAGAGAGAGAGAGAGAGAGACTGTATGCATGAGTTGACGTATGTATGAATCCAGCCTAGGATGCTATATAGCAGGGATCCCCAACCCCCAGGCTGCAAACTGGTCTGCAGCCTGTCAGGAACCAGGCCACGCAAGTAAGCGAAGCTTCATTGGCGCATGCACAAGATCTAAGTAGTGCACAAAACCATCATTCCCCCCCCCCCAGTCCATGGAAAAATTGTCTTCCACAAAACCGGTCCCTGTTGCCAAAAAGATTGGGGACCACTGCTACCAAGGTTCCACCTCTGGGTCTTTACTCTCTCTGATTAAGCCTCCGGTGTGAACACAGCTCTATTTTCTCCCTTCGCAGGATCACCCTTTGACCCCCGGACCGCTCTAGGCCATGCTGTCGCAAACGTCATATGCACTTTTGTGTTCGGTCAACGCTTTCCCGAAGAGGATGCCCATTTCAACAAATTGTTAAAAACTATCCACATGATTGTCTACGTTCCTGGTAGCGTCTGGGGCAGGGTAAGTGCTCTGTTTTTCTCTTTATTACTATGTGGATGTCTCTCAGTTGGAGTTGGCCCACTTCAGGGCTGGCAAGTCCTGGGTCTGTGGGACTTGTGACCCCAGATGGTTCTGTACCACCGTCCATGCTCCTCGCATTTCCTGATGGTCTGTATAAAAAAATAGTGGTGGTTTAAAAAAAAAAAAAAGTCCAAATAGTTGGTCTGCTCTCCTGGTCATTCTATAGCAGTGGTGGCGAACCTATGGCACGGGTGCCAGAGGCGGCACTCAGAGCCCTCTCTGTAGGCACGCGCGCCGTCGCCCCAGTCCTAGGCCTTCCGCTGGGTTTTATAAAACCTTTTCGCTTTAGGCCTCCGCCGCTGTGTGCAAAAAAAAAAAAAGGTTCAATCAATCAGTCCATTTCAACTTCTCGCGGGGGAAAAAAAAAGATCTTGCAAAGTTGGAATTGATTGATTGAACTTTTTAGTCCCACCCAGTCTGCCATTACCACCGCAGCCACGGCCACCCAATTGGCCATGCCCATCCAATGGGACACACAACCGTGCATCTCATGGCCCCCACAGCCAGGCCACTCCCCATTCGGCGACCTTCCCCCCCCCACGCCCGTTCAATGACCCGGCTGCCCTCCCACCTCCTCTTCCCTTTCACTCCCCTCCCAAGCCGGACTGCCATGGGCAGGAGAGGCTCGGTCCCCTTTCCTGGTCCTCCACCACCATTTTGGAGCCAGGAGTGACAATGAAAGGCTAGGCCACGGGCAGGCAGCCTTGGCTCTTTTATGACTCGTAGACTTCAACTCCCAGAATTCCTGAGCCAGCCATGCTGAGGAGAAAGGGAGAGGTTTTCTGCCTGAGCAGGTTGGACTAGATGATCTCCAAGGTCCCTTCCAACTTTATTATTATTATTCTTTCTTTCTTTCTTTCTTTCTTTCTTTCTTTCTTTCTTTCTTTCTTTCTTTCTTTCTTATTATTCCAGAATAATAAGGATTATTAATAATAATAATAATTTAGGCCTCCGCCACTGTGTGCAAAAAAAAAAAAGGTTCAATCAATCAGTCAATTTCAACTTCTCGCGGGGGAAAAAAAAGATCTTGCAAAGTTGGAATTGATTGATTGAACTTTTTAGTCCCACCCAGTCTGCCGTTACCACCGCCACCACGCCCACCCAACTGGCCACGCCCACCCAACGGGCCACGCCCACCCGGCACCCGACGATGCATAAGTGGGTTTTGGGTTGCAGTTTGGGCACTCGGTCTCTAAAAGGTTCGCCATCACTGTTCTATAGAATGTTTGATCACCTGTTTACCTCACTTAGTCTCTCTATAGAAGGGTAAAACGAAAGGCTTCGAAATGACTTTAAGTAACATCTCATTCAGGGTAAACCTCAACATCTTTAAGTTGTGCGGACTTCAACGCCCAGAATCCCTCAGCCAGGCCTCCAACCTTGGCAACGTTACGACTTGTGGACTTCAACTCCCAGCTTGGCACGGCTGGCTAAGGAATTCTGGGAATTGAAGTCCACAAAGGGTAAAGTTGCCACGGTTGGGGTCCCCTGCTTTCAAATGAAAGAATTCCCCCACCTGTGAAGGAGCATTGCAGGATGTGGAGATCACCCAATAGCCTGCCGATCAATTCTCACCTCGTGTCCTTCTGCATTGTCTCCATTTTGCCGCCTTGCTACAGGTCTACGACTCTTTCCCCACAATCATGCGGAAATTTCAGAGGCCTTACCAGCAGTTGTTTGAACACAATGAATTCATGCACAATTTCATCAAGGACAAGATCCAGAGTCACAAGGAGAGATGGAAAGAAGGCGACGAACCACAGGATCTGATTGACTTCTATCTGGATTTCATCGCCAAGGCAAGGAGAAGGCTTTTGCATAGCTTTTCGCCCAGCTCAACCTTCCCATGACTAGTCATCTTGGCTAGGAACAGGATAGCCAGGGCATGTAGTGAGGGACACAGGTCAAGACGTTAAGATGGTGTTTGTAATCACAGAGTTGTGGCCACCATCTTTACTGTGGAATCCTTGGTGCTCTCTGAACTTGGTTGTTTTCTTGCAGATGTTTCATTACCAACCAGGTAACATCAGCGTTCCTAACTGGGTTAATGAAACGTCTGCAAGAAAACAACCAAGCTCAGAGAGCACCAAGGACTCTACAGTAGTCCTCATCCTCCTCTTCCTCTTCTGCCTCCTCCTCCTCCTCTTCCTCCCCCTCCCCCTCCTCCTCCTCCTCTCTACAAACCTCACTCCTTACTAGCACTGATTATGTTTTACCTAGCTGGGTAATGAAACGTCTGCAAGAAAACAACCAAGCTCAGAGAGCACAAAGGACTCTACAGTAGTCCTCCTCCTCCTCCTCCTCCTCCTCCTCCTCTTCCTCCTCCTCCTCCTCCTCCTCTCTACAAACCTCACTCCTTACTGGCACTGATGATGTTACCTAGCTGGGTAATGAAACGTCTGCAAGAAAACAACCAAGCTCAGAGAGCACCAGGGATTCCACTGTTGAACCATGAGCTACAAAGATTCTCTTCTATTGCTACCATCTTGACTTTTGCACGCGCGCGCACACACACACACACACACACCTCCATTCTCCATACACCTTGTAAGTAGCCAATATCCAAATGATGACTCCCTGTTCTGTGTAGGACCAGCCTCTCATACGTAACACCAGCCTCTTTCTTGACTTCATAAGTTAATGGGTGCAATGGTATAATGCAGGGGTAGGCAACCTGGGCTCTTTTATGACTCGTGGACTTCAACTCCCAGAATTCCTCAGCCAGCCATGCTGAGGGGAAAGGGAGAGGTTTCCAAGCTGAGCCGTGCTGGCTCAGGAATTCTGGGAGTTGAAGTCCACGAGTCCTAAAAGAGCCAAGGTTGCCTACCCCTGGTATAATGGATAGATCTTGGGAGACTGATGAAGAGGGACTGCCTAGGGAACTGTCAGATAAGAGGGCGCGTAGCCCTCAGCTGCACAGTCAATGGATCAAGAGGCTTAGAAGGGCTATAAAGATGACGGTGGGAAAACAGTACCGGTACTTTCAGAGTTGCAAAAACCTGTTAATGTAACCTGACAACGAAGCAGAATTAGTTCACAAGTAGTCCTTGTCTTACAGCAGTTCCTTTAGTGACTGTTCGAAATTACAACGAAAAAGTGCTTTGTGACCCTTTTTCACACTGACAACCCTTGCAGCATCCCCCGCGCTCACGTGATCCAAATTCAGACACTTGGCAACCGACTCATTTTTGTAACGGTTGCGGCATCCCGGGGATGTCACGTGAATCCCTTTGGCGCCCTTCTGACGAGCCAAGTCAAATGGGGAAGCCAGATTGACTTAACAACCGTGTTACTAACTGTAGCAAGAAAGGTGGTAAAACGGGGAAATTGTCTCCAACTTTGGGCTCAAATGTTGTCGTACGTCGAGGACTAACCTGCCTCAGGGCAATGTCTGGTCTACCTGGGGAGGCTGAGAGTGAGAAAGAGAGGGAACTCAGAACAGAGATTTCTTCTGATTCGACGGGAAAACTTTTATCCTTCCGACAGGCGGATCTAACGAAAAAGCTCCCGCTTTACATCTCTTTTCTCCTATATTCCATCTCCAGAGCAAAGACGACTCGACTTCCATTTCAAGGGAGGACAACATGGTCCAAACTATTGCTGACCTGTTGATTGCAGGAGCAGAAACCAGCACCACCACTTTGTACTGGGGTCTACTTTATTTGCTGAAATGTCCTGATGTGCAAGGTAGGTGACTGGAGCTGCCAGGGCTTTGGAAATGCGGTTGTCTGTTCACTGGGTGAAAATGATCCACAGATCGTCCTCAACCTACAACAATTCATTTACGGGCCATTCAAAGTGACAACGGCACTGAAAAATAGTAACTTATGACCGTTTTTCAGAGATAACAACAACAACAACAACAACAACAACAACAACAACAACAACAATAATAATAATAATAATAATAATAATAATAATAATAATAATAATAATACCACTTGAACACCATTGGCATTGACAAATTCGCCATTAGTCAATTGCAAAAGGCGGCCTTACTAGGAACTTCTTCCATCCTGCGACGAGATCTGTAATACCATCAAACATCCACATCTGCCTATCCCAGGTCCTTGGGAAGGACTCGATAGGTAGACAAAATGCCAAATCCAGTCTGAACATCTGGCTGACTATGCGATGATCAATAATAATAAAAAGTTGGAAGGTACATTAGAGGTCATCTAGTCCAACTCCCTGTCCAGGCAGGAAACCCTATACCATTTCAGACAAATGGTTGTCCAGTCTCTTCTTAAAAACTTCCAGTGTTGGAGCATTCACCGCTTCTGGAGGCAGGTTGTTCCACTGGTTAATTGTTAATTGTTAATTGTTCTCACTGTCAGGAAGTTTCTCCTAGGTTGCTTCTCTCGTTGATTAGTTTCCATCCGTTGCTTCTTGTCCTGCCTTCAGGCCTTTGGAGAATAGTTTGACTCCCTCTTCTTTGGGGCAACCCCTGAGATATTGGAACTCTGCTATCATGTCCCCCCTTGTCTTTCTCTTCGTTAAACTAGACATACCCAATTCCAGCAACCGTTCCTTATACGTTTTAGCCTCCAATTCCCTGATCATCTTTGTTGCTCTTCTCTGTACTCTTTCTAGAGTCTCAACCTCTTTTTTACATTGTGGTGACCAAAACTGGATGCCGCATTCCAAGTGTGGCCTTACCAAGGCCTTGTAAAGTGGTATTAACCCTTCACGTGATCTTGATTCTATCCCTCTGTTAATGCAGCCTAGCACTGTGTTGGCTTTTTTTGGCAGCTGCAGCACACGGCTGGCTCCTATTTAAGTGATTGTCCACTAGGACTCTGAGATCCGACTTAAAACCTTTGTAGCCCCCCCCCCATGATCATGATGCAAAAGGGGATCATGTGACTCCGGGACACTGCAACTGTCATAAATACGAGACAGTTAACAGTAAGAACAATTAACCAATGGAAGGACTTCCCTCCAGAAGTTGTGGCTGCTCCAACACTGGAGGTTTTTAAGAAGAGACTGGACAGCCATTTGACACCCCCCCCCTCCCAGGGATACCGCAACCATAATAAATATGAGCCAGATGCCAAGCATCTGGATTTTAATCATGCGATGCTGCAACGGTCGTAAGTGTGAAAAATGGTGCTAAGTCACTTTGTTTCCAGTGCCATTGGAACTTTGAACGGTCACTGAATGAGCTGTTGTAAGTTGAGGACTACCTGTACTTTCAAGCGAAAATCTTGCCTCGATACGTGTTGTTTTTCTTGGGCACTCAACCTAGCACTTGTCAGTGTTGGCTACTTCGTGGCAAAGGCCAGATTAAGATAATTCCTGTGATGTATTTATCTATAGAAAAAGTCCACCATGAAATAGATACCGTTCTGGGACCTTCTCAAACGATCACGTACGAGGATCGGAACAGATTACCCTACACGAATGCCGTGCTACATGAAATTGTTCGCTACAGCAACGTTACGATCACTGGACCCTTGCGGGAATGCCTGAAGGACTTTGATATGTTGGGATTCCCAATTAGAAAGGTAAAAGTCTCTCTTCTCTCCCTCCCTCCCTTCTCCTCCCTCTCTCTCTTCCTCCCTCCATCCCTCTCTTCCTCTTTCTCCCTCTCTTCCTC